AAATTCGAAAATTTGTGATTGACCGTTCCTGAGAAATCAGATAAAAAAAATTCAGGTGATTATTCCTCGATGGTATGCTCGGTTTTAAAAATTTTTATAAACCTGCTCCTGGCTACGCATGAACATGAAATTTGAACTATTGGTAAAGTCGTTTAAAAGAAGAAGCGTGTCAACCGAAAATTCTGAATCGGGGAAGAATGGAGTTTCGCTAGCCTTCGGCTCGCTTCGCCCTAGTATTTGCAGAGGAATGTATGACTAGTTGCCCATTATGTGATTACTTTACTCACTAAGGGTAAACCATACCTATCTACGACAGACACAGTTCATTAATTACGTTTTTCGATACGTGGTTGAAGGCCTCTTCTGTATCGTCAAGAGTTATTTATTTTTAAATCAGCAACACAAAAAATTCTAGAAGTAACCCTACTCAAGCGATATTATTGAAAGCAATAATAAAATCTGTCTATCCACAATGAGACCTATTTGAAGATGTATATTCAAATTTAAAAAAAAAAAATAGTTTTACGGTTATAGTAATTTGAAACTGTGAAGAGTGGTTTGTATTTTTAAATGAATACTACTAATAGATACTCGATGGCTGCGGTAGGAGTTCTGAGGGCAACGAAAAAAAAACGCCTGTCAAAAGAGAAAACTTCAAAGAGACACTCGCACAACTCGGAAGAAAAGGCAAGGTTCAATTTTTTCATTTTTCTGCGTTTAGAATCTTATTACTATCAGTATAACTTTTTATCGACAGCAGCTACAATGCTCGCATTGGTATCACATTCAGCACTCCTGAATATACTTTATACATAGGTACAATAAAGCATTATATTTGAGTTGCGCTGATGAAGTGGTAGAGTTGATACCTAATTTAAAAAATATAAAAATTTTTAATAAACAGCGGTTTTAACATTTATTATTGTCATTCCAATTTATGCAAGAAGTTCAGTAACAATCAAATGAAGTTCTATGCAACTGAACTAAACAAAATGCTATTACGGATTAAAAATTAACAAAACATACAAAATGGACATCCCAATCTTCTCTATATAACAATGAATGTTTATTCATTGCTGTCCTATAATATAGGTCAGGGATGGCGAACCAATGGCACGCGTCTTTAATCAAGGAATTTTCAGCAAGATTTTCTCAGTCCAGAGAATTATCGGAAATACTCAAGTTTATGTACCCTGATGTGACGTCATTTGATAAACTGAATTTGTCCCAATTCAATAGGTTGGAAATTGAAGAATATGAAATGAAGCTGAATTATTTCCAGTCTAGTTAATATGGAATCAAAAATTTGTTGAAACAAGGAAAGAGTTAGAAATAATTGAAACAGAAAAATTGACCGGTAATACAAGAGAAAATGCTAATAACAAAACTTTGGAAGCATGGAATGCGTTACCGAACACATTGAATTATTTGAAGAAGCTGACTTATACTATTTCAACAATGTTTTCATAAACCTATGCCTGCGTGTCATTATTTTCAGAGATGAACAACATTAAAAACTCGGTTAGAAACCGATTGACAGATGACTCCAGTTCAGCATGCATTCTTACAGCCCTAACATAAGTTATTTGTCATCTAATCTGCAACTACAGAAGTCACACTAATTTTACTTTAATTTAAATTACATGTATAATTTGAACATTGCAACATGTTCCTATATTTTTATAGTAAATAAATAATTTTGAGTTGATATTATTTATTATTATTATTTTCCCCATAATCACAACACAAAATTATTTGATGGCACGTCTATGACCTGATTAAACTTTTCTTTATAAAAATGGCACGTCGATACGTAAAGATTCGCCATCCCTGATATAGGTAACTAAATTCACAAGTGTGAGCTGTCTTAAACCCCATCCCCCTAGTGCAGGTGTCACATACTATTCGTAATTTCCAAAATTCTATTTTTCATTTTCCCGGAATTGGGTCTGCATAACTTTCAAAACTATCCTACGTAATTGAATTTGTTATGATTCCGAATATTTTGGTCGACTTTGCAAAATACGAAAGCGCTACACGGAAGCGCAGCCAATGTGGGCCGAAACAAAATTCCAAAAGTTCCATATAACGATGGCGAAAACAAACACTATATTGGGGTCCTATAAAGAGCAAAGCTAAATGAGGAAGGGGGAGATGAAGTGAAGTCCGCGAGGGAGAATAAGTGAGGTCCATACGGTTCGGGAATCACCGTGCACATCATAGACTGGCGTTGTGTTGACAATTGCAACTCTGTATCGAAATCTCCCTTAAAGGGTGAACCATCGGATCCCCATTCAGCGGATAGTCTCCCCCCGGAAGTCAAGCAAGAGTGAATGTATGACCGATTAACTTAATATCTCTGTGACTCATAGCTCCTACCTAACAATTTGGTAATTGTTTATAAATATTTTTAGTCCTTTGCTGTCTTTCAGCATAAATTATAATATATTGTGCTGAATATATATTAAAACGGAAAACAAGTGTTTTGATAGTAAACCTCTCCTACGCCAAGCGACCTCCTCGCAACTACGATACACAGAGCTACAGATCCCTTCCTAGTAGCTTAAAAATTGTATGTTCTTATTGAAGATAAAGGTTACAATTGGCCGAATACGGCTCAAATCCATAGTAGAATGAAGATTCGGGCTATAGGGCCGTGGTCTAAGTGAACTATTCTGTCCAGACGTTTCGTCAGCTACTGCGGCTGACATCCTCCGTAGTAGTGCTGCGTTGACAACGTGAACGTAGATTATATCTCGAAGACTCGACAACGACTTACGTCAATAAATTCTTGGAAAAACAAATAAAAAATTCTTTATAAACAACTAATACTATCGTTTATTCATAAATAGTGTAATAGCAGTACATAATACGGTATTCTTTACGACAAAAAAATATCGTTTAGCTACATCAACACTGGCTTATAAACTAAGACAACGGCATTGTTGCCAACCGCACTGTGATCTTAAATATATAAACTAAATCAAAATTACGTCATTAATTACAAAACAAAGACAAACGTCACTTTGCTGAAAAAAAATTAATACACACACAACATACAAACGCGAACAGACGCGTGAAGAGGAACAATGCGGCGATCACTTTTTTATTTATCACCGTATAAAGAACGAAAATAAGAACAGAAAAACTTCATAATCCCGCTTGGAAGTGTTTTGTGAAACAAATACAAATCAATTTATCGCTGAAAACTTCCAAATCCTAAACCTACTCCACGCATTGTGTGAGTTGCAGTACGAGCAACCTCATATTGTGCTTCCATTGAACTGAACATCTCCTCCTGCTTCTTAATCAGTTCTGATGTAGGTTTGATACCATCTGCAGTGTTGTCCCTTATACCCATTAAACGTTTGAACTTATTGGCTACCTTACCTGATAATAAAAAAAAGTTTAACATTCATATACAAAAATAGCAAATAAATGTAAACTCAACAATATATTTATTTATATATAATTACTACCTTAATTAATATTAAAAGTGATCAAACTAAAAGAAAGTTCATTCGTCAGGTAAATTTCATTAAAAATAATATATAATGCCTACCGAATAGTCAAATTTTTTTGGTAATAAAATCAAATTAAGGGGTTTATTAGAAAACCCAAAAGGATGATAAGAAATAAGTAGTAATGATAGTAACAAAAATTACTCTGACATGACAAAATTTTTAATTAGCAATTTTAATAGATTATCATATTATCAAATACAGAAACCATTTATATACGTGAAAATTCATAACGAATTTCGATGTATAAGCCTTATGTCCATTGTTTCTTATAGTTATGTACCAATCACTAAAATTGGTCGTGTAATGATTAAAACGTTCTTTAGTTAAAGTGTTTGTAAAGAACTGACATTATCAATTCTTCTTTAATTCTTTTGGTGTTATTATTTAGATAAAATTATAGCTGAATAAATATAATAAGTAAAACAACTCACCGTCCTGATCCTGTGCAAAAGTTGTAGTCTCCCACAATTTTCCAGTTTTAGGATTAGAAGATGTAGTGGATGATGCAGTTGGTTTATTGACAGGACCGGCTGTCGGCTCAATGATTTCGGAATCTTTATTCTTTTGCCAAAGTAATTTCCGTCTTTGAATCTGCTCCGTAAATCGACCAGTAATTCCGGGCATATAAAATCGATTATTGGTATCTACAGGTGCTTCTGGTGCAGGCTGAGGTATTACTGAACTTTTTATATCGATTCCTTCAAAAGAAGATATATACAAGGAAATTATCTCATTTTTTAATATGCGTATATGAAACTTCATTTGTTATTGTAATTAAAAAAGAAAAATTTACCCAATTTTTCAATTCGTCCCATTCTCGCGCTCCCTCGATCGTATCTTCTCGAATACCCCGATTTCCCTCCTCTTTCGCGACTTCCAGATCTTGATCTTCTTTTATATTCTGATCTCCGTGGAGAGCGACTTCTTCTGTCTCTACTTGAAGACCTTCGCCCCCTGTATTTATCTCTATTGTAGTCCCTTCCTCTATCCCTCTCTCGATCTCTGTACTTGTCTTCGTCGTCTTTATTCCTATATTTGTCATCGCGAACTCTTTCGTCCCTAGATCGATGTTCTTTATCCCTATACTTGTCTTCTCGATCGCTTCGATATATTTCTCTACTTGCATCATCTTCTCTATATGTTCTATGCCATTCTTTCTCTCCATTTTCCTCTCTATTGCTTTTGTATTTATCATCATTCCTACTTCGTTTAACTCGGTCTCTATCTTCATCTCTGGTGCTTTTATCCCTATCGTCCCGGTATTTGTCTTTTCTATCTTCCCTATCGCTATCGGGATGTTTGGGACGAGTGTCATCTTGTTTTTTTAGGTTTTTCGATTGACTTCCGGCATCAGAGTCATTAGAATCCTGTTGAAAAATGATGACTTACCTATACAGATTTCGGTAGAATATTTATATTGACCTAATTAAAAAATAAAACAGACTTTATTCAATATTCTCCTTATTTGCTTGCACATTTAAAAATGTAAATTGTTGGCAATCATATCCAAGCAATGCTTACAAACAAGTCTCTGAATAACCAAAAACGTTTTTTCGTTAATTCTAATTAATTTGCAAGATTAAATTCGTTGTACAATTTTGTATTTTAAATAATGATTATTAACTTAAGCAAATAAATTTTAATTTACATTATGCATGTAAGATTTAACATGATGTGTAGCAGTTTTATGGTCATTATTTTGATATAACATTTTATTTTTACTGATATTAATAATTACTTACTTTAAGTATCTTAGACACAATAATAAAAAGATAAGAATTCATTTTTGACAGTTATAAATCATTATAATGGACTGCTTAAACAACAAAATGGTATGGAAGAAAACTATGGTAGAAACTAATTTCAGTCGTTATCTGGTTGTCCAGACCGACAAGTACTTACCGATGGCTCATCTTGATGTTCACTATCAGAACAAGGCAGTTGGTGTACTCTCGAAACCACTTTACCAATAATATATCAAGAGAGTGAGTTAATATCATTAGTCAAAAAGACATAAAAGGGAGAGTAAATGACATTCTGTATTTTATTCAGATTTGTCATTTGAATGTGATATTAATGTAAAAAAGTAATGTCCATTTAGGAAAATAAATGTCAATTTTAAAATTACCAATGAAATCCATCTACATGATTAAAAACTTATCACTTTTATGTTTATATTCAACAGTGAAAAGAAGAGCTAAATTATATAAGCTAATTAACATATATAGTGTAGGTATATGTAAATGTTACATAATTCGAAATTATAGTTTCAACAAAAAGTGAACACATGAATAAATAGCTTGTTGTTTACTTTTGCATATCCTACCTCACTAAGATCCATCTGTACTTCCTCATAATTAACATCAGCTTGCGACGGTTGAACTGAACGAAGGCGGGTCTGACTTTGAAAACCAATTTGGTTCCCCAACTGCCAGGCCTGTTAAGTAGGAAGACGATGTTCTTTTGCGTCATACTATTATTTATTAAATTACTGATTAATAATTAGTTCAATAATTAAAATTATCAGCTATAAAAATTTCAGCAACACTCAGTCATTAAAAAAACGCTTAATCAAAAATACGATATCCTTGCATGAGTGTAATATTTAAATTACTGCTTAATATTTACTTACGTGATTCTAAATTTAGAACATGGAAAAATAATGTTTAACTTACCGATTTTCGTGGGGGTGGTGATTCGTCCAAATCATCATCACTTCCATAACCCACCAACGAGTGCATGTTTTATTCTGATAAATATTAAAATGAATAATTTAAATAAATAACAGTATTATTATAACTTGCTTCAGACTTTATAGATAAATATGACGACAATACCTTATTACACCTAATTGGACGTAAAATGACAGCTGACAGTAAGTTTATTGATTTTATTATAAGCAAGAACCAATCGCGGAAAACTACAGATATAAATGTAAAAACATGTACTGGGTGTTCTCAAATTGCTTTCCATTTGATTTGAATTATTCTAAAATATTGTTTGACATTTACCATGCGACTATGTAAAGTAAAGCCTTTGATTGGGGATAGGGAATGTTAATAACCACATTAATGGTATATTCGTAATTGTTAGTTTTCGGTTCTTCCGGTCAACTACAAAATTAGAAAAAATCAGGGAAACCCAAACTAATTGTACTTTGAAGAGGAGCACAATTTATCTAAATTACCCTTATTTAATCCTATAGTTATCTATCTCACATCTAAATGACGCCGTTGCAAAACAAAGTTCCTAGAGTATATTTTACGGGAGAACACTGTGATCGAAAATGGTTGACTTAATTCCGAAAATAAATACTTGTTAACTTTAGTATTAGAAAATTATCTTACAAAAACAGAAACTTATTGTGATGAAAGTATTTATTCAGATTTGGATTTTTATTTAGCATTCTAAGCAGTCTTTTACATATGATAAAAAGAATTCAATTTTTTTTAAATGCCTTAACATTTCCTTCTTAGGAATAAGTTTAGTTGACGGCATTTCATAATCAGATAATGCATCTAAAAAGTTACTTTTCTTTTTCTCTTCTTTTGGGGTTTCAATTGCAACATCAATTAGCTTCTGAAGATCCGAAAGAGCGCACATAATATAATATTTACTATCACTCGAAGTGGGTCCAAGAAGGATCTTTTTAACGTCTTCTTGCAAGACATCTATATTTTCTTGATCAATGGTGATCCAATCGCTCTAAGATGAATTAAAAGTATACAGTTACATGGTAGCTTAATACTAAATGGAATTTCATATGAAATGATTTCAGATAAACCTACATTTATACATTCCTGGTGAATCGAAACCAAAGCAGAATCTGAATCTTCAAAATTATGAGATTCTCTAAGTACTAGAGATATACAAATTATAGTTGAAGCTGCCTCATTGGCAAAATCATAGTACTCTCCATTAAAATAACGTGTCACAAAGGCGTAAGAGCCGATTATGTTGATTAAATTAAATTTGAGACATGGGGCTGGTGGTTTACTCTAGAAAATCATAAAACAGTAATAAAGATATAACCCAATAAATAAGCTTTATGTACTAAAAATTCGGAAATAGAGCTATTTAGTTTATAACTTTAAAGGGGTCTCTATAAATATTTTTAGGGCACTTAGTCACTGGAATGCCTATGATTGCTACTCGAAAGGGAAATGCCTATAGAAGTACAGTACTTTGTTGTTCAATAAAAAAACATTCATGCTTTAAAAGAACATACCACATTCCATGTTCAGGCGAGACGACTTTCCCTAGCATGAAACAAAACCTAATTGTTATTTCAGTTGCACTTCAATTTTGTGTCAAATGACAGTACACAATAGATAGACTACTTTCTACAAACGCTACCAAATTGATGACGAACAAAATGCAAAATTCAAAAGGTGTAGTAGTAACTAATCCATTATAGATTCCAAAAACAACATTTGAAAGCTCAGAAAAAAATTAACCACCGAACTTGAAATGCAATGTATACAAGATATTTCATAACATACACACAAAGTCGAGAAAGCCATGATATCTTCTGTAATCTTAGGGCATTTCTGTTTATATTCCTCAGTCTTTTCTACTTCTATAACTTTCTTTTCTGATCGATAAAGCCACCATGGATCCCATTTTTCAATTAAATTAGTTACATCTCCTGACCTAAAATTGTACTAAAATAGTTGATATAAACCTGTTTAATGCCTGTTACCTAATAAATGATTCAAATTCTTGTCTCTCATCTGATGTTAATTTTTCCCAAACTTTATCTGCATCATCTAAATTTACCCCCTTTAAACGTTCATTCAAATCAATGTAAACTTCATCATCAGAATCCAAATTATCAGAGCCATTCTCTTCTTGAATATCTTCGTTTACGTTTCCAATGTTATCTTCGTGTACACGTTTTAAAATTTCTAGCATCCTTTCTTTTGAATTAGGATCACTTTGATCTAATGCCAAGTCCTGATATACACAATCTTTATAGAATGACTCTGAACACTGTTGATGTTTTTCTGACTGATAGCACGATAAGGAACAGTACTTAATGTTACAACGGGGACAAGAATATTTCCCATAAGCATTTTCACATCTAAAAGGAAAAAAAATTCCTAACCTAAAAATTAAAGAAACACAACTCTTACATTTTACAGATGTTTTCGTCAGTTAATTCCACTATTTTGGCTGCCGACATTCTCTTAAAGTATATATTCTGTTAACACTGTTAATTTTAAATGTATTTTATATTTGAAAAAAAGTAAAATGATTGAAGTTTGACGTTTGTTTTTGAATGCATTGAGCGTTTATTACCGGTACGGTCGTACAGGACCGTAATTAATATTTGTTATTGTTACATAACCACTTGATTTTCCCTTTTTTTATTTAAACCTTTCGCATTTAATAATAAAAAATCAGTCACCAACATTTTAGACGTAACAAAAACACATAATTATTGGCACTTACTTCTTATTAACTGCGTTTTCATTTTCATTGACATAATAGAGTCGCTACAGGTGCAGAATACAGAACGCAGATCAGATTGATAATTATTTTAAGGAGGGAGTCCACAAAAATTACTGCCTTTTTTCTTGAAGCGAGATAATTCTCTGATTCTAAAGATTTTTGATTAACATTCGTTATTTTCGTGATCATTTTTTTGTAGTCATTTTGAAATAATGCTCTTAAATGAGGCATGCATAATTATTATAAGAATTGATAAATTATAGCAAAAAATCTGTAAATAACTGTCGATTTTTGGCTTTTCCGTTACCGGAAATCTGTACTCGAAACCCCTTCCCCTCCTCAAGAATCCACCACTGACCGCCAGGAAAAACAGTTAACAACACCCAAGTAGTAAATCTTCAGCAATCTTCAAGAATTTGGAAGATTTATGACGTAGGTAATTGATTTTCGATCCCCCTTCCCGGAATTTTATATATTGTTTTACATATTTACAATTAAGAATTCTTTACAATTAATACTAATAAATTGAATAAGACTAGTATAAATAAGGTTTTTAGTTTCCGTTACTTAGTGCAGAGCCGGGCAAACTTTAACTTCGCAGGAGCCGCTACATGAGGTTAGTTTGAGTCACTCCATACCATTCAATGAGTACGAGAGAGTAAGCAGTAATGAATAATTTTGTTTTGTCTTTTTCTTCTCCCTTCCACTCCCATATCAAGCCCCTTCATCCCGTAGACGAGCGAAGCCACTCTCGCA